TATCAAAGTGGCATGATTTTTCTAGAGTGTTGAGTGTTGGTATTTCATGTTGGAATTTTGAGTTGTTGGGAGGGCCCCTCATCAATTTGATGATTCAAATATTAGATACTGGTGGTCAAACACCGCTTTAAAGTGTGTTGATTAATTATTATATGCGTTTAGTGATTAATCGCATGATAGTGATTTTACCAAAAGTCAAATCACTATTTAGTGATACATTAGTATAATACAGAGTATTTAGCTATTTCCTCAAAAGTATGTTTTAGAAAAAGTTTGAGTTTTAATTTGTTTCAAAGAAAATTCAGAGTACTCTCAGTTTTGGCACTGAAATTTAAACGGTGTCGTATATTCTTTTAACCAAGGTTGTCCTCATGTGATTGTTACCATTCGGTTACCAAAAAGATATCGAGTCTCATTACTCTAAATCTTTAGAATGACCTAACATTAAAGTCTATATACATGATTCAAAAGTTTTAATAATATCTAGTTCTTAAAGTTAGATTAGAAGAGATTAGTGGAAGAATTAGATTAGACCACTCCTTGGTAAATCATGAGTGTTATGACCTCTTGTACACAATATAAGGATTTTCAAGTGTGTCTCAATACAATAAGATCTAGAATACGAGACTTTCAACAAAATATAGGATATGGTACCAACAAGCCTGGTACCAACAAGCCCTTTTTAGCTTTTACGTACGAGTATATGTAGACGGCAGCCTATGAGCTCGTGTTGGGAAGTGGTATGCTCTTTGAACAGTAGAAGTCTCAGTAGGAATAAAGAGTGTAATGAGTTTGGCACGATAAACTATTCTTCTGTTATAAGGCATCAGCAATTCAAGGGCTTGAACCCCAACAGTTCAGTAAATTATATGATGCGATTCTTCTATTGAGTAAAATAGTGTCAGTCAAAGATGAGTGTTGGGTACTTGGGTTGGGTTAATGGCCCAACAAGGGGCGGCCCATCAACCCCTAGGGACGTACATAGCCAAGCTCCAGGGCCCAAGGGCTAGGGGACGTACGTAGCCCAGCATAGCCAAGCTCCAGGGCCCAAGGGCCAGGGGACGTACGTAGTTCAGCATAGCCAAGTTCCAGGGCCCAAGGGCCAGGGGACGTACTTAGCCCAGCGTAGCCAAGCTTCAGGGCCCAAGGGCCAGGGGACGTACGTAGCCTAGCGTAGCCAAGCTTCAGAGCCCAAGGGCCAGGGGACGAACGTCTTATGGTTTACCACCCAAGGGTCCAGGCTGCCACCAGAGGGCTGAGTCCATCCGAGGGGATGAACGTCCCCACATCATGGCGGGAAGCCAGGATCCTGGCGGGAAGTGCATTAAATGCGGAAGATTTGGTGGTTGGGATCATGTCGCCCACAGCCAGCCACGTCAGCCCCCCAACCACCATGGGGAACTATAAATAGTCGCATTTATTTCATTAAGAGGGGTTCGCACTTTGATTCTCTAGCATTGTAATAGCAGTAACAGCTCATAGGCTAGCTTAGTACGTTCGGCCCTTCGGCTTGTAATCACTGGAGTGAATAAAATACAGTTATTGGCCCACTCCCCGTTGTCTAGTGATCTTATTTGCCCTTCACCCATTCGAAACTCCCAGGTTACGTGTTGGGCCTGCGAGTTGAGGGGAATAAACCTCAGCACTGGCGCCGTCTGTGGGAAACTGATCAAAAAGTTCTTCCAAATCAAGCTCTCCATTAAAAAACTCTCAGACAACCACAAGGCAAGTAAAATGAACACTAACAACGCAGGGAACTCTCAAGACCTCTCCTCACGACTGGCTCACAGTAGGAGGAGACGCAACCAGGCGACGAGGCCCCAGTCCACCAGTCTGTGGAGTCGGAGAGATTTCGGGATACTCACTGACCTGATCCCCCAGGAACTCCGTAGGGACCCCAACGCGCTACGGGAGATCGTGAATACCATCCGCCGACTGGCGGACCAACGGGAGGAGGAGCATGTGCATACTGCCAACACCGAGCGGACCCCACTCTCACCCATCCGCCCCATGCAATCTTTCGCCGAGCATACCGGTGAAAATAACCATCCCCGCCATTCGGTCCATTCCAGGATAACTCAGAATATCCGCTCTCCGGATATGGGGGGCATCGCGGGAGCCGGGCCCTTCGTAAGAACGCAACGCCACACTGTCCAGGACCCCACGCCGGTCATGCCTGAAATGGACAGGCGGCTAGGGAACACACTCCCGTGGTGGATGGCATGATGGCGGAGGCCCGAGTATACCATGGTCAGCATAATCATGGCATCACGCCGAGGGGGAACACCTTAACATTGGTAACTCCCGCACCCGTTGTGGCTGATCCGCGAGATGCCATGCTCATGGACATGCAGAGACAGATAAATGAGCTGAACCAACGTACGAAGAATACACAGACGCAACCCAGGATTGCACTTTCACCCCCTTTCTCTGACAGGGTTATGGCAGTGGACATTTCACGGGACGTTCGGCCTCCCGGAACTCTAACTTATGATGGGGTCGGGGACCCCAAGGCTCATCTACTATCTTATCAAGGGACGCTCTCTATGTTGGGAGCCTCCGATGAGGCTGTTTGCAGACTTTTCTTCAGCACCCTCAGGGGGCCAGCGCAAGAATGGTTCGGGCAGCTCAGGCCCGGGTCCATCGACAACTTTGAGCAGTTATCCCGACATTTCATGGCCCAGTTCGCGTCGAGCTCCACACCCAAGAAACACTTCAGTTGGTTGACGAACGTCTACCAGAACAAGGGAGAATCCCTATCTGCTTTCCTGATCAGGTGGAGAGACGAGACCCTGAAGGTGGAGGACCTTCCGGAAAGCACCGGCATCACCCTCTTTACCAATGCGTTGGCAACTAGGGACCTCTATCTGGACCTGAAAAGGAACCCCGGGAGCAACTATGCTGAGGTACTGGCCCGTGTGCACAAGTTCGCTGCAATCGAGGAAGAGATTTCGCAGCGAGATGGAACAACGACCCCCGCAACACGCAAAGTATCGGACCGATTGGGTCCTGGGCCGGTGGAATCACCGGCACTTGAAAAGAAGAAGACGGTCGGCGGTTACGCCCCTTGGGCCGCACAGGAACGCCGAGGGGACGACCCTCGCGTAAGCATGGGGCCTGCTCCCTTGGTCTACCCAATCAGCCAGATCTTTGGGGCTATCAAGGACAAGGGGCTGCTCAAGGAGCCGGTACCCACCAAGGGGCACATGATGGGCCGAGACGCGGGAGCCTACTGCGAATATCATCGCAAGCAGGGACACCGTATAGACGATTACCAAAGTCTGAAGTATGCCATCCAGCAGCTTATTGAGAGGGGGTATCTAGGTGAGTTCACCACGGGAGGAGCATACCAGGGCCCCTCACAGCAGCATAGGAGGCCCTACAGCTGGCGCCGGGATGATCGGCGAGAGGCTGGGGTCAAGGAGGAGGATTTCCATCATAGCGGCAAGCGACCATAGGCATCACTCGGGCCGGTAGGCACCAAGAAGAAAATGGAAATCAAGATGATTTTCGGAGGGGCGGAGACTGGGGATACCCCGGTGGAGAGGAAGAAGTTCGAGAGGGCCCTCCGAATAAATTCCATTTCCGCACCTCCCACCAAAAAACATAAGGCCGAACCCATCACGTTCGGGATAGCAGATCTACCACAATCACTAGGACCGCACAGGGATGAGTTGGTATTCAGCATGGATATCCGGGAGTGGATAATCCGACGAGTCCTAGTTGATACGGGAAGCAGTGTCAATGTCCTATACTGGGATGTATTCGAGAAGATGCATCTGAGCAGGGCTGATTTGAGCCCCCTACGGACACCCCTGACTGGTTTCACCGGCCACAGTATTGATGCAGAAGGGACGATCGTCCTGCCAGTGGAGATCGGGGACAGAGAGCATAGGGCGACGATCCCCATGACGTTTGTGGTAGTGCGGCTAAAATGCGCTCACAACGCCATTCTGGGACGACCCGGATTGGAGGACCTCGAGGCCATCTGCTCCGTACGACATTCTTGTATAAAATTCCCCACGGAAACTGGGGTGGGCGTGGCCTGTACGGATCCAGATACAGCGAGAGCATGTTACAAGGAAGCGGTGAAGAAGATGACTGAGAGGGACATGAGGGTCAACAGCATAGCGGAGACAGCCCAGCAGGAGGAGGCCATGTCCCGACCAGAGCCAGCTACCCTACTGGAAGAAGTGGAAGTGGATGACCCCTCTGATCGGAAGGTGTCCATTGGGACGGGCCTAGAGCCAGAAATCCGGGAAGGGGTGATCCTGATCCTCCAGAGGTTCAAGATCTTGTTTGCCAGAGGGCCGGAGGATATGCCAGGAATTGATCCAGAAATCATCTGTCACAAATTGGCCGTTTGGCCGGATGCCAGACCCGTACAACAGAAGAAAAGGTATATGGCGGTCGAACGGAGGGACTTCGACAAAGTGGAGGTCACCACCCTGCTCGACATACGCCACATTCGGACGGTTATGCATGTGGAGTGGTTGTCCAACGTCGTCCTAGCACCTAAGGGGACCACATGGCGGATGTGCGTCGAGTACTCCGATCTCAATAAAGCGTGCCCAATGGACCCCTACCCTGTTCCGAGGATTGATTTGTTGGTGGATGAAACCGCAGGGTGCGAGCTGCTTAGTTTCATGGATGCCTTCAGGGGATATCATCAGGTGTTCATGCATCCGGACGATGCTGAAAAAACTGCCTTCGTCACATCAGACGGGGTGTATTGCTATGTGGTCATGCCATTCGGCTTGAGGAATGCAATGGCGACCTTCCAGAGGATGATCGGGATATTGTTCAAGGAAGTCCTCAGGAAGATCATGGAGGCGTACGTGGACGATATCCTGATCAAGAGCAAAAAGAAGGAGGCCGACCACGTACAAGATATGGAACAGGTCTTCACCATCATGGAGGGAGCAAACATGAGGCTAAACCCGAAGAAGTGTGCTTTTGCTGTCAAGGGGGGGGGAGGGGGGGAGGGGAGGGATTCCTTGGTTACATGATGAGCGAACGGGGGATCGAACCTAACCCAGAAAAGGTGAAGGACATCATGGACATGGAGGCTCCCAAAAACTTGAAGGATGTGCAGAGGCTTACTGGGCGTTTGGCGGCACTAAGCCGATTTATGTCAAAATTAGCTGATCGAGCAATCCCCTTTTTCCAGATCATGAAGAAGGCCAGTCCATTTGAATGGACCCTGGAGTGTCAGACAGCCTTTGAAGATTTCAAGACATACCTCTCCTCGCCGCTTGTCCTTACCAAGGCGGATCCCGGGGAGCAACTGTACATGTATCTGGCAGTAGCCGATCTGGCGGTAAGCTCCGTCCTGTTGAAGGAGGTTGATGGCGTTCAGCGGCCTATATACTTCGTTAGCAAGGTGCGGAACGGCCCGGAGACAAGGTACACACTGATGGAAAAGATGATCCTGGCCCTGATCGCAACAATAAAGCGCTTGGCGCCGTACTTCGAGGCACACCCGGTGACGGTGTTCACCACTCAGCCATTGGCCACTATCCTCAGGAACCCAATGGCGAGTGGGAGGATTACGAAATGGTCCTTGATGATCGGGCAGTACAACGTGGAATTCAAGCCAAGGCCAACGATCAAGGGGTAGGCGCTAGCAGATTTCATTGCCGAATGCACGGCACGTACGGAGGATGGGGAATATGGCGGCAACGACCTTGACAACTGGTGGGGAATGTACACCGATGGGGCAGCAAGCGCAAAGGGATGCGGTCATCACCTCCCCCGAGGGCTTCAAGGCTTATTACTCCATGGATTTTAAGTTCAAAGCCACCAATAACGAGGCTGAGTACGAGGCGCTAATCGCAGGATTGAAATACAAGAGGGCCCTCGGTGCAGCTCGTCTGAAGGTGCGGATGGATAGCCAGTTGGTTGTTACACAGATGAACGGCACCGCTGAAACTCGGGAGGAGCGGATGAAAGCTTACAGGGAGCTGGCAGAGGAGCAGACTGTGCAGTTTGAACAAGTGATCATAGACCTGGTACCTCGGGTAGAGAACGCCGAAGCTGATATCCTATCCAAGCTAGGCAACCCCCTATCCGAGGATTAGACGCCGGCCGTCTCGAAACACATCCGGAGTTTCGCTAGAAAGGAAACGCTACTCCGACCGGCGACAGAGACGATCTAGGTAAATGCTGTTTCTTATGCAGATCCCAGCTGGGTGAAGGAGGTGCCCGATTATCTCAGGGATGGACCCCCCCCCCTCGAGAAAGATGGACGCACCTCCGGAAGGGCCCCGTGGATAAAAAGACGAGCGGCGCGTTTTGAAATCATCGGGGGTGAACTATACAAAAAGACGTTCGGCGGACCATACCTCAGATGCTTACCACCGGACTTAGCGGCATCAGTCATGGAGGAAATCCACGAGGGCATCTGTTCCAGTCATCAGGGCCCCCGAACGCTGGCGAGAAAGATCATCCTACAGGGGTACTACTGGCCAACCATCCAGCGAGACTGCTTCAACCACACTCAGAGGTGTGCAGTATGCCAGCAGTATGCACCTATACCGGGAAGGCTGGCCAGCTTCTACACCCCGATGACCGTCGCCCTACCATTTACGAGATCGGGGATAGATCTGCTGAGGCCCCTTCCCAGGACGACCGGCGACAAGAAGTTCATAATAGTAGCCATTGACTATTTCACCAAATGGGTGGAGGCCGAGCCATTGAAGAACATCACTGGGTTCCGATGTCAACGCTTCGTATGGCAGAATGTATTATGCCGGTTCAGCATCCCAGAACAGATCATTACGGACAACGGCCGACAGTTCGTTGGTAAGGGTTTAGAGGCATATCTAGCCAAATGGGGCATCCGGCATTCCAGGGCCTCGGTCGCGTACCCGCAGGCAAACGGCCAGGTGGAAAATATGAACCGAACCATCATGGATGGCATAAAGAAAAAATTGGAAGATTACTCCTCAACCTGGCCGGAGCAGCTGAATTATGTCATGTGGACGTACAGGACAACTCCAAGGACGGCGACCAGGGAAACACCGTTCGCACTGGCATACGGATTTCAGGCCAAGGTCCCCACCGAGGTACTCGTGCCCACACACCGGACATTGCAATTTGACCCAGGACAGAACGAAGAAAATCTAAGGGCAGAGTTGCACTTTATTGAGGAGAGAAGGGATCTAGCCGCAAGGCGCATGGAAGAATATCACCGGGCGACTGAAAGGTATTTCAATAAGGCGGTGAAAATCAGAGAAATCGAAGTCGGAGATTTGGTACTACGGAAGCAGGAGAAGAGTAAGCCACTCGAGGGTGGCAAGATGGCCAAAAACTGGGAGGGGCCGTACAAGGTATACGAGAAGAGATTGGCGGCGGGGACGTTCCTCCTACAAACTATGGAGGGACGTTCCGCTGGCATATGGAATGTGGAGCACCTGAAGAAATTCTACCAGTAGGACCCCCCCCCAAAGGGGGGAGACAAAAAGGAAGTTTCAGTTCATACAATGTAACAGCGGGAATTAATGAAAACAAGCAGGCTTGGACATTAGCCCAAAAAGTCTCGTGGTTTTTCCCTTTCCGGGTTTCCACGATAAAATCATGGTGTACATCATCGTCATAGGAACACTACGAGCCTCCCAGAGGAGATTAACATTCCCCGCCGAGCGGTACCAACCATCCAAACGGTACAACCACCGCACCAAAGACCTCTCAAAAAAAACAAGAGAGGCACCAGGGAATCCCCAAAGGGGATAAACCCGATCCGCATCACAATCGCGGACGAGCCCAGCTCAGGATCCAAAGGACTGGGATAAATGGGCAGGTAAGACGAACGGATGACGGGACGAAGACCGGGGAATCCCCAAAGGGGATAAACCCGTCCCGCGTCACAATCGCGGCCGAGCCCATCTCAGGATCCAAAGGACCGGGCCAAATGGGCAGGTAAGACGAGCGGACGACGGAACGAAGTCAAAGACCTCTCAAAAAAACAAGAGAGGCACCGGGGAATCCCCAAAGGGGATAAACCCGTTCCGCATCACTATCGCGGCCGAGCCCAGCTCAGTATCCAAAGGACCGGGCCAAATGGGCAGGTTAGATGAACGGATGACGGGACGAAGACCGGAGAATCCCCAAAGGGGATAAACCCGTTCCACGTCACAATCGCGGCCGAGCCCAACTCAGGATCCAAAGGACCGGGCCAAATGGATAGGTAAGACGAGCGGACGACGGAACGAAGTCAAAGACCTCTAAAAAAAAAAGAGGCACCGGGGAATCCCCAAAGGGGATAAACCCGTTCCGCATCACAATCGCGGTCGAGCCCAGCTCAGGATCCAAAGGACCGGGCCAAATGGGCAGGTAAGACGAACGGATGACGAGATGAAGACCGGGGAATCCCCAAAGGGGATAAACCCGTCCCGCGTCACAATCGCGGCTGAGCCCAGCTCAGGATCCAAAAGACTGGGCCAAATGGGCAGGTAAGACGAGCGGACGACAGAACGAAATCGAAGACCTCTAAAAAAAACGAGATAGAAAAGAGGGAGGCACTAGGGACGAAGTTAAAAGGCGATCATAGCAAGCAAGCAATACACATTATTCATCGGCTCTACCGGCCGGAAAGTACACAAACATACACGAGTTTGGAGTGAAATCAAGAGTACAAAATAACTGAAGTTGTCACGCCTCGGGGAGCTATCCTTGAATATAGATATGCCTGTAAGAGCTTTCTATGAACGCAAAGGCATGAGGGGTGAAGTAAGCCATCTTAACAACATTAGCCTCTTTAGGAAGAGCGGCCTGCTAGCCAGGAGGTGCGGCCGACAAGCAAAATTTGACAAACTCACTCAGCTACAAGAGGGGTTGTCCTTCGCCGGAGACTTCTCCTTCAAAGCCTCCTCATAAGCCTCAGCAAACGAAACATTGAAACCAGCAGCCTCAGGATCGAACGGAGTGGGGAGATAACGCTCGAGAGCTGGGAGGTTTTCGGCTAAAAGGCCGATCATCCCTTTAGCAAAAGCATCATCGGCAAGCTCTGCAAGGAACTCCTGGCCGGCGGAGGTCCCCGATACCAGCTCAATGCTGTCCTTCAGCATATCAGAACTCTTAGCCAGGAACTCCCCGAAGCTCTAGGCAAGACGCTCCTTAACACGGACGTTCACGGCATCGACGTAGGCTCTGGACTTCTGGAACTCAATGGAGCCAGCTTCCTTGATTTTGGAAACATCAGCCTCAAAAACAGGGACGGCCCCCTCCACACCAACCTGGCGAAGCTGCACGTCGGATTTCTCCACGGCGGCCATTTTGGCACGAAGCAGCTGTAGCTCCTCGGCTTGTTTCTTGACCGTCTCCTGAAGAGACGCACTCCCCTTAGCAAGCCCAAGAGCAACGTTCTAGTCTTGCTGCATCTTGTTCAGACGCTCTTTGACCTTCTTCACCAGATCATCGGCTTCACAATGCACCTGGGCGGAAGCACGCTCCTGAGCTTCATAGGCAAATCGCGCCTTGCAGAAACAAATAGCAGCCTTGTTGAGAGTGCTAAGGCCGCACTCGTGAAGATCCACCGCGCTCTCACAAGCGGCAAAGTCACGAGGGAGTTTTAACCCCAAAGAGCACCAAATGGAAGAGGCCGTCTGACCAAACAGTCTTTTCGACTCTGCACGGGGACTTAACCCGGAGAACTCAATGATGTCAGAAAAGGAATCCTCAGAACCGGGCGGAAGAGGGTCGCTCAAGCTTTTGGCCAACGAAGTAATGGGGGGCTGCCTAGGAGGAGAGGCGGCCTCATTATCTGACCCATCAAGGATCACCACGGCCTTGGAGGATCCTAACCCTTGGCGGGACTTGTTGGGGGGCTGTTCGTCCCCGACGGGTTCAGCTTTGGGCCTCTTTTGGCCCTGATCCTCACCAACGATCTGCTTTCCTTTGCTAGCATTGGCCCGGCCGGAGGAGGGAGTGGCACGGGTGTGAGGAACCATGGAGAAAGACCTGGGGTAAAGTCCTGCGCAAGGGAGATGTAAAAAGTTAAAACAATGTCCGGGATTCACAAAAAGAGAGTCCAAAACCCGGGCCACAGCGAGGACGTACCTATGCCGACCTTGCCCAAGTTGGTATCATTCACCAGCAAACGCAGGTTCTGGACCGCCTCACCGGCAATACGTGCAGCCTGTTCTAGCTCGGCCGAATGGAGAATCGGAGGCTCAAACTTAACAGGGAAAGCATTCCACCGGCCGGAGAAGGGGGGGGGGTGGAATCAACCCCGGCAAGGAAGAATCTCTCCTCCCAGCTGTTCAGATTGGGGGGGTTGTTGGAAAAGAGAACCCTCCACGAACGGGCCACTATGGGGAGAGCCGGAAGAAATGCAAAAACAATTTCACGGATGGCTCAACCCTCACATTGTGGCACCGGAATATGAAACCAGCGAGAATCCGATGGGAATTAAGAACGAGTTGAGTTGGGGCAATACCAAGACCCCTGAAAAGAGAAATGTGAAAAGGCAACAGCGGGAAAAGAAAGCCCACTGCCACAGAGTCCAGATGGACGACCACATAGCCAGGTAAATGCCGCATAGGATGGCAGAGGAACCGTGTGTCCCAACCCCGTGGAGGGGGAAGCAACTGGGGAATCAGATTCTTCTCGCTAAGGAGCTGACGTTGGCGCTAACGCCGAACGAGATGAAAGTTAAGGGAGAAATGAGGAGGCTGGTGTAAGGAATATTTGTAATTAGATTTTGATGATGCTATATTAATTAGGACTTTAGAGTACCCCTCTTTAGACTTAATGTATTATAATTTTCCTTGTAAAGTTCTTTAGTATAATCGACTGGCAGAGGGCCTCCAGAGCAGAAGGCCTCCAGAACAGAAGACCCCCTGACAGAGGACCCTTGATAAGGCTTTGGTTGAACAGAAGACCTTTGGTTCTCTGCTTCAGAACAGAAGACCTCAGGGTCTCTGTTAGCCTTTACTCTGACAGAAACCCTCCTGGTTCTCTGTTGGATATTTCTTCAACAGAAGTGCTCAAGACCTTCCCTGATCAACTCTCTGCTAAAGACACCAGAAGGCCTGACACTTAGAAGAATTTCACCTAACCGGTAAACCAACTGAAAGATTCCTTCAACGGCTAGGAGTCTTGAACGGAAAAGCTACAATACGCGCATTAAATGCACATTTAATGCCTCCCGTACTCTGTAGAGTAATTGCAGATGATTGGCCGCAATGTCAGGATAACTTTATCCCAAAATAGTAACCCGCCAACTTTGCCGGGTCCTACCGGTCAAGTCAACTGCTCGCTCATTTAATGCAGTTGTCCTCCTTCTCCTCCAACGGGAATACAACCTCAGTATAAAAGATACACTACGAAGAACAACCGGACAACTTTGCAACCTCAGTGCGCATACAAAATATTCAAACGCTAATAACGCTAAAAAGCCTCCTTGAGATTAAATCTTCATTATCTTCAACAAGAGAAGGAAGAAGTTGGAAAGTTCCTTATTTCAAACTCAAGCAAAGTTCTGAGCGTTCTTCAACTCTTCAAGCTCTTCATATACAAACTTTTTGTAACGAAGCAAGTTGGAGGAACCCCTGTTCTCAACAGAACCTCTTCTTTCACAAGAAGGACGTCCAAGTACCTGGAGCAGTGAAGTGGTGATACTTCCGGGAAAGCTCAGTGAAAGGACCAGTCTTAGGGAAGCCAGAAGTGCATCCAAGAAGACATCTACACTTGAAGAAGACGTGGAGAGCTTCTTAAGTGATAGGGCTAAGGCGTTGTAAACGGTCGTTTTTACAAGCTTAGTGGAACAGTGGACTAGAGGAACAAGTTGTTCATTGAACCACTATAAAAAGCCCTGGTGTCATTTACTTACTGCATTATTTATCGCTTTTATTTGAACTGCTTAACTCCAAAGACTTGGTATCTGTGTTCAGCAGAACTTGCCTTGTGAGTTAAAAGAAGGCCTACTGCCTTTGCTTCTCTGAGGCTAAACAAACAGAACCCCCTACCAGAACTCCATCCGCTGCAAGTCTGTTCTGCCAACAGAACATGTTATTCTGTTAAATCTGGTACTTAGCTTGAAAAAGTTAAAAACCAATACAGTCTATTCACCCCCCTCTAGGCTGTATCAAGTACAACCGGGACCAACAAGTGGTATCAGAGCCTCCTTGTTCTAATAATCTCTTAGGTTATTTGCAGAACAAAGATCCACTTGTTTTTTCTGTTTTACCTCATTTTTTATATGATATAATGGATCACTCCCTTTCCAAGAATCTTATGTTCTCAGATCTCAAGTTTGATGAGCGGAGGATCCGAATGAAGGCACATCTCTGTGCTCTGCATGATGAGATGTGGGAAGTACTTGACATTGGGCCCTTCACAAGCTTCCAGAAGGTCAACCCTGAGCATGCTATTGATAACACCAGACCTCAGATGATCAATAAGGCCAAATCTGAGTGGACTACTGAAGAAAGAAGGAAGTACAATCTGGACAACATTGCTAAAGACATTCTTTACAAGTCCATCGATGATAGGTACTTCAACAGGATAAAGAAGTGCAAGACTGCAAAGGAAATCTGGGATAATCTTGAGCTCATTGGAGCTGGTAATGAGAAAGAGAAGGACAACAAGCTGACAATAGCTAACAAGAAGTTTGATGACTTCAAGCTCCTTCCTGGTGAAAGCATCTCCAAGATGTATGAAAGGCTCCTCACTCTCACCGGAGAGATCTCTGAGCTAGGCAAGGAACTCACCACCAAGGAGATCAACCTCAAAGTGTTGAGAGGACTGCCCTCAGCATGGAAGATGAAGGTGGTTGTTGTCCAAGCCAGCAAGGATGTGAAGACTTATCCCACTGATAAGCTCATTTCAGATCTCAAAGCTCATGAGTTTGAAATGATTGAAGAAAAAGAAGATGTACCAGAATAGAGGACCACTACAGCCCTCACTGCCAACACATCAAAGGTAAATAATTTTGACCCCTCAGTACTTTTATCTGACGAATATATGGCTGCTTTTGCTAGGAGATTCAAGAAGTTTATGAAGAATCCCAAAGATGGAAGAAGTCCATCATTCAGCAGAAAGCCATTCCAGAAGGTCAAAACAACAGAGAGCAGTGGTGAGCTTCTCTGTTACAACTGCAGACAACTTGGACACTTCAAAGCAGAGTGTCCACATCCAAGAGTGTCCAAGAAACAAGGGCATGATGGAGAAAAGAAGAAGTATGAAGACAATTCCAGAAGAAGGAAAGCACTCGTGACAGAACAGCTCGAGAAAGACCCTCTGTCTGAGACAGAATCCAGTTCTGACTCTGACTTCTATAAGGCCTTGTGTTGCCTTGATACTGAGACAGAAGACCTATGCCTCATGGCTCATTCTGATGATGAGGTAACCTCTACTTCTGCATCTGGTTTTTCTTCGGTAGGCTTAGCTTTTGATTCTGATTCAATGTCAGAATTTTGGGAAGAGTTTAAGGCCATCCAAGCCACTTATTCCTCTGTCACAGAAGAAAACAGTAAGCTGAAGGCTGAAATTCTTGACTTAAGAAAGGAGGTTGAGATCAAAATCAATCTTCTAATTAAGGAGAGAGATCAGCTGGAAACTGAAAATGTTTCCCTTCTCAAGAGAATAAGAGAAATTGAGCCTCTTGAGATCAAGTACAAAGCTTACCAGAAGGCCCAGTCTTCCATGGAAAAGATTTTACTTGATCAACAAATTGGCACTGGCTTTGGTCTTGGTTATGGCTCAACAGAATCAGGTGAGCCTTCTGTAATGCCTAGCACCAGTGTTGCTAAGGTAGATAAGGTCATAGTGCCACTGATCTCTAGCCCCATCTGCCAAGCTGGTGTATCTGGCACCAAGGTTGTTCATGAGGAAGTCAGACCAGAAAAAGGGAAGATAAAGGTTCAACAGAAACCCTTTTTGAAAAATAATGAACCTGACAGAAAACCTAACAACAGAAAGGGTTTTCAGAATAACAAAAATAAAAGACCATTCATTGACAGACAACCTCATGATAACCATGTCAGAAATGACCACCAGAAGGGTAGATATCAAGAGAGAGTTAACTTTAGGCAGAAGAGGTTGACTGGTCAACTTCAGAAGCCCAGAGCTAACCGTTCCTCTGCTCTTGATAGTATATGGGACTTCTTTCCAACAAAGAAAGATATGCAAAAGTATGTAAACAGGAAGCATGACCCTCACAAGCATGTGCCCAAAGTGAATCACACTTCGGTTTACTATAACTACCAGGTGGACAATGGGTACCATCCACCAAGGTTTCACCTGATGAGACCAAAATGGTACCAACTACCCAGACTCCATGACCCCCCAGGACCCAACATTGCTTGGGTACCTAAATCTTTCTTTTGATCTTGCAGGAACTGTGTGCTGGAGCTATCTCAGAGCAAGAATGGTTTATTGATAGTGGATGTTTCAGGCACATGACAGGTAACAAAAGTTGCCTAACTGAGTTCCAGAAATGCAAAGGACCTAAAGTTACCTTTGGAGGTAATGACAAAGAAGGTCAAACAAAAGGAAGAGGGAAGCTGATCAAGAACCAGATAGTCATTGATGATGTCTCATATGTCAAAGGCCTGAAGTTCAACTTGCTGAGTGCTAGCCAATTCTGTGACAAAGGCTACACTGTTGAATTCACTAAGGATTTATGCTATGTGAAGCATGAGACAACAAAAGAAGTGGTTCTTACAGCATCAAGGAAGAAGAACATCTATGTGGTTGATTGGAACACTGCAAAGGATGGAGTTTGCCTGATAGCCAAGGGAGATTCAAAACTAAGCTGGGACTGGCACAAGAAGCTTAGCCATTTGAACTTCAAAACAATCAACAAACATGCAAAAGAACACATTGTTGAAGGACTACCAGACATAGTTTGCAAGAAAGAGACCCTCTGCAGTGCATGCCATAAGGGAAAACAACAGAAGAACTCTTTCAAACCCATTGCTGGAGATCTTTCTACAAGTCCTTTAAATCTGATCCACGTGGATTTATTTGGACCTGTTGAGACTCCAAATGTTGGTGGGAAGAAATATACCCTAGTCATGGTTGATGACTATTCCAGATATACATGGACTATCTTTCTGTCAAAGAAGAATGAAACTCTTCAGAAGTTGCCATCTCTGTTAAAGCAACTTCAGACTGAGAAGAACTTGAAGGTTAAGACAATCAAGTGTGACAGAGGAACTGAATTTGTCAACCAAGTCATAAAGGACTTCTGTGATCAAAATGGAACCTTTCATCAACTCTCTGCCGCCAGAATTCCTCAACAGAATGGCATAGCAGAAAGGAGGAACAGAACATTAAAAGAAGCTGCAAGAACAATGATTGCAGAATCTGGACTACCTATGAGATACTGGGCTGAAGAAATCAACACTGCATGCTATACCCAGAACAGAAGCATGATCAACAAGAATCACCAGAAGACCCCGTATGAACTCTGGAAAGGAAGAAAACCCAACATCAGTTACTTTCATGTATTTGGATGCAAATGGTACATCCTTAACAATGGAAAGGAGCATCTGAAAGTCTTTCAAGAGAAATCTGATGAAGGTATCTTTATAGGCTATTCAAACACCAGTAAAGCCTATAGAGTACTCAACAGAAGGACTCTACATGTTGAAGAGTCTATACATGTGAAGTTTGATGATAGCACCTCTGTTAAAGAAGTCACAGAGACCCTCAAAGAAGTCAACATAGAAGACAGAACACCTGAACCATCAGAAGAGGTAGCAGATAACCCTGCATTTCCAACACCTGCACCAAACCCCCTTCTGTTGAATGAAGATGAAGACTCAGAAGATGAAGAACCTGAGAGACCCACACAGCAACTGACAGAACCTGATCTGACATGGTTAAGAGACCATCCCCCTAACCAAGTAATTGGACATATCAGAAGTGGTGTGCAAACCAGATCAGCATCAACAAGGAGAGAAGCAATGCTTCCCTGCTATATATCTCAGATGGAACCCATGACTGTAGAAGAAGCTCTTGCAGATCCAGACTGAATCAATGCAATGCAAGAAGAGCTTACTCAATTTGAAAGGAACAAAGTATGGGAACTTGTTCCTAGGCCAAAGCACCAGAATGTCATTGGAACAAAATGGGTATTCAAGAACAAAGCTGATGAAGATGGCAACATTGTAAGGAACAAAGCAAGGCTGGTAGCTAAGGGTTATTGCCAAGAAGAAGGAATATATGTTGATGAGACTTTTGCACCAGTTGCCAGACTGGAAGCCATCAGAATATTTCTAGCCTATGCTGCCTACAACAACATCAAGGTCTACCAGATGGATGTCAAGAGTGCATTCCTGAATGGAGATCTTGAAGAAGAGGTTTATGTGGAACAACCACCAGGTTTTTTCATTCCTACTCACTCCTCCTGTGTCTACAAGCTTAAAAAGGCCCTCTATGGTCTTAATCAAGCTCCCAGAGCATGGTATGACACACTGTCCCTATTCCTAGTGAACCATGGGTTTACTAAGGGAAAGATTGACAAAACTCTATTTCAAATCTCTGTTGCTAATCATATTCTGTTAGTAAAAATATATGTTGATGATATTATATTTGGTAGTACTAATTCAGAACTATGCAAGAAATTCTCTCAAGTGATGCAGAGTCAATTTGAAATGAGTATGATGGGAGAACTCAGCTACTTCCTAGGACTACAAGTCAAACAAGTTCCAGAAGGAATCTTTATCAATCAAGGGAAGTATACCAGAGACCTGATCAAGAAGTTTGGAGTGGAAGGCAAATCCTCAGTGAAGATTCCCATGAACACCTCACAAGGAATTGGTCCGGATGATGAAGGAAAGGATGTCGATGCAACTACCTACAGAGGAATCATAGGATCTCTGCTGTATCTGACTGCAAGCAGACCAGATATCTCATTCTCTGTTGGAATCTGTGCCAGATACCAATCAAAGCCCAAGGAGAGCCATCTTAGTGCTGCAAAGAGAATCATCAGATATATCAAAGGAAATCCAAATGCAGGCCTATGGTATCCAAAGGGAGGTAACTTTGAACTAATTGGTTACTCTGACTCAGATTTTGCAGGTTGCAGATTAGACAGGAAGAGCACCTCTGGTCACTGCCAAATGCTAGGAGGAAGGCTTGTTTCCTGGTTTAGCAAGAAGCAGAATTCAATCTCAACAAGTACAGCAGAAGCTGAATACATTGCAGCTGTGAGTTGCTGTGCTCAGTTACTCTGGATGAAGCAACATCTGAAGGATAATGGCATTCAAGCAAAGGAGATCAAATTGCTTTGTGACAACATCAGTGCCATTGCCATCACTCAGAATCCAGTTGTTCACTTCAGGACAAAGCACATTGAGATCAGACATCACTTCATCAGAGATCATGTTGAAAAGAAGCACATATGCATGGAGCATGTGCCCACAGAAGACCAGCTTGCAGACATTCTGACAAAGCCTCTGCCTGAGGTTAAATTCAACAAACTGAGAGAGGAATTGGGAATGATGGATGAAATTCCAAGAGAAAGTTGAAAAGGAAGGCCCTCTGTTGCAAAATCTCTGCTAACAGAATACCTGTTGCAGAACCCCTTCTGTTAACCCCTTCTGTTCTCTATCCTGAACAGAGAACCTCCGTTCCTGACAGAACACCTCAGCAACAGAAACCCCCCCTTTCTTATCCTCTGAAAACCTTACATGTAACAGAAGGTTGTGGACTTAGAATATTTTGAAAAACCGGGTGACCTAGTAACTTATTAACGGTCTTTTACTCTTTTACCCTTAAAACGGTATTTCAGCCGCAAAATATTTACTGCGCCCCCATCTTCATTTATTGGTATCTCGAAACCGTAAATAATCTCAAGCGTCCACTAACCCGAACCTATATATTCCCGTCTCTCAAACCTTAACTGTTACTGCTCTCAATATCCTCAAACTCTCAAACCTCCATAGCTCTCAAGCTTTCAAAACTCTTTTCTTCTGCTCTAATGGCTCCCATCAGCTTCAACACTCTCCCAAAGGATCAACAGGAAACCCTAACAAAAAATGTTCTCACAGGGATGAAATGCGAGCTATTCGCACTCCCTAGACTGGTTGAAGATGAGTCACTGATGGAGCGTATAGTGGAATGCATCAACGACTCCCAACTGGCAAAGGTCATCACCTACAACTACACTCAGTACAGTTGTATTGAAGTGGTTGAGTTCTATCTCAACGCTGATTTTGAGGACCAGGTCATCACCTCTACTGTAAATGGAGAGCAAGTCATCGTTGATGCTGGGGCCATCAATAGTCTCTTCCAGATTGTGGCTGTCAATGAATCCAGCGGTTTCTTTGACCTAGAAGATGCTGACCTCACTGCTGAGGAATTTGCCATGAACTATGGCAAACCTGGGGCCAACCTTCCAAACCTGACAGGGAAGAAACACTATCTGAAAAGAGACATTGAGCTCCTAGTGAATATCCTTCACAGATGTGTATGGTGCATATACACATCCACTGATGAGTTCACCATCTCTCAAGCCAAGGCAGTCTATGCTGTGATGCACAAGGCAAACATCAATTGGGGCCAAGTGATTGTCAGGTCCATGATAGTGTTTGTCAACGTGGCAAAGAGAAAGAGCAAGGACACAGGGATCTACTCTGGGAAGGTAGGTCATGCTCTCCTCATCTCTGAGCTCCTAGTGCGGGGAACTGGGCTCAGGAAACCAATTCTGGTAGATCACTCCAAGGTGATCTTTTTGTCATCTACCAGCAACAGAGAAGCAGCTATAAGAGCTGAAATCAAGAGGTTAGCCAAGCTAGACCTTAACAGACAGAAGCTCCAACAGAGACCCTCCCAACAGAATACCTCCAGCAGCTCTGAGGAAGAACCTCTGGTGAGAAAAGCTGTGAAGAAAGCAGTTACCAAGAAAGCTGCACCAGAGAACGTCAAGAAGGTATTGACCAGGAAACCAAATCCCAAGAGGAAGAAATCCTCTTCAGAATCCAGATCTTCTACCCCTTCTGCACCCCCAGTTTCTAAGAAACAGAAGATCAGAACTCCTATCCCCAAGGTTGCCTCAGAAACTCAGGGGGAACAACCAACAGAACATGCTCTACCCCTTCAAGCCAAGAGCTCTCTATGGCAAGGGAAGAAAATCACCTTCGAGTCTAGTGACTCCAAGAGTGAGTCAGTGGAGAAGGCTGCCACATCTCAAGGGAATCTGAGACTTCTGTCAAGTCTGCACGCATGACAGAAGACCATGCAGCTGCTCACTCTCCAGAACACCTAACACCTCTCATCCCAGAACCTTAGACAGACTACAGAACAGCTCTTGACAAGCAGTTTGAGCGTGTGTTAGCTTGGAGAAGCTGGAGGATGGGGCCTCTACAGAAGATTATCCAATATTTCGACCATTATGAATCTGAGGAGGCAGAAGTACTTAACTGGGTAGGCACAGATGATGTTTCTAAGTGCTTTGCCATGAATTTTCTCATCTCTGTGCTTGAGAAGAAGAAGGCCAACTACAAGGGCAAGGCAGTCCTGATCTCTACTCCTTCTGATGAGCCAGTGAAACCCCTTGCAGATGAAGAGGTTGATGCGTTCGAAGCCTGGCTGTTTGCCAAGAAGGCAAGGGAATCTGTTGTGCCCTATTCTACTCCTGGGGAACCTTCTGTACCAATGACTGAAGGTCAAGCAATGATGGAACTCATTTCAGAATGGAGATCGTCTCTGATAGAAGACCAAGTACTTGAGGTAATATCTCCATCTGCCTTTGTACTTATTCCAACAGAACCCCTGATTCCCTTATATCCCTCTGTGCATACACTCCCAACCCCCCAACAGAACACCTCCTCACATCATCAGAAACCTTCTTCTGAACAGAAAACCCCCACATCCCAAAAACCCTCAACCCCCAAATCTACACCTCCTTCACCCTGCAAACCGTTATCTCCCCCAAAGAACAGATCCCCTTCCCCTCCCCCATCTCCTCAAAGACAAGTTATTCAAACCAAACCCCAACAGATAATCTCCTCATCACAACCATCTCAACAGAAATCCCCTTCACCTCCCAAGTCTGAACATCAAGTCACTCCCCAAGCTTCTCTTCCACCACACCAACCCCAACTCAGCTAAAACCCGTCTGGTTCCTAAGAGACTCTGATCCTACAACCATCTCCCCCATCTCTGCACCACAAGGATACTCTAGGCATTCTACTGCCCCCAATCCCTCCTTTTGGAAAAAGAAAAAGGTAATCAGGAACAGAATCTCAATCTACTCCTCCTACGAAGACTCCTCTGACATGGATGGCTTCATTGTCAGCAAGTCCTATAAAGCTACCTCAAAGAGACAGAAGACCCCCCCTCTGACTCAACTCGAGCATGAACTACTTGTCCAATCCCTCTCCTCTGTCCAAGAGCATCACCCTTTGCCTAAGGGAAGAGGTTTAGAGCTGCCTCACTCTGCTGGACAAGAGAATCAGATACCCTTCAATGACTTTGTAGCAGCAGCAGAGGACTTTGGAGGTCAGATGTTAGAAGGCATGAACAAACTCATTATGATCAATGATAAACATTATGAGGGTCTGCAACATGTGGATGACAATGTCAAATTCGGCTTCAAACACATGTCTGCTACTTTGACAAATGTTCTTAAGGACTTCATGTCTTCATCTAATGTCAAAATTGATGCTGTCTCTACTGAAGTGGAATCTATTAAGACTGTTCTAACTGCCATGAATCAGACCCTGAATTCCAAACATACGACACTATCAACCCTTTCCCAAGCAGTGGCATCTCTTCAGAAATCTGATTATGTACTTCATGCAAGGTTACAAGAACTAAACACTCTCTGCAATGATCATTCTACTCAAGGACAGCTCCTCCTAATTGCAGACAAAGAACGATATCAGAAGATGGTTCTCTTAGAAGCCAGCAACAAAGATGTCTTGTCTGTCATCCAGAAACAACAGGGGCTGATTGAAGGCCTCACATCTGTCACTCAAACCTTACCAGAAACCCTGGAACAGATTGCCTCTACTCAGGCCACAGAATTCCAGAAACTCTCCCTTCTGCTTGGTGATCTAGATGATGCCAAAAAGGGGGAAGAAGATCCTCATCTGCCTAAACCCAGGACCACCAGAGCCTCATCATCTGCTGAACCAGCTGTGGATCCCACTCCTTATTTTGAAGCTGCCCTCCAGAAGAAACGGCTAGCTGGTATCCCTAGATCTCCACCTGCACAGAAGAAAGGCACTAAGAAGAAGAAAGCTCTAAGCTTTAAAGAATGGAGACTGGGAGGATCTCAGGTGATGACCAAAACCCAATTTGAGGAAATGAAGCAGAAGATGACCTCCACACAGCAACAGAACCTTTATCTGGACCATGATGGTCATGTAAAGGTTAGACATGGTGGATCTCTGGAGGAGGCAGAGTTCTGGTATCACAACAGCATTGTACCAGGAAAAGATATTCATGAAGGTGTTCTGAACTACCTAGACTGCAAGCTCTCACCCGTTTGGGCCTCTTACCAGAGATCTGGAAATCTCGTTGGAATCAGAGAAGAGGTGAATGTAGAGTTAAAGAGGCTACAAGGATTGGATGAACAAGCAAGAGCTGAAGCTGCAAGGGCTATTATGTAATCAGATATCCTTGTAATCTACCTTAATAAAAGAACATCTCTACCTCACACTTTGTAAGGCAATTCCTCCATTTCCGTCTTTTCTTTTGTTTATGTTTAATTGCTCTTTGATTTATTTTCTGCTATCTGAATGTACTGTACTCTTACTATTTTCCTATGCCAAGTTGCCCACCAAGATTTTAATGAAAGTTTTAAAACTTTAATTTTTTATGGTGAAGGCACTTCTCTGGAAATAGTTAAAGGGTTTTGGCATCATCAAAGGGGGAAATTGTAAGGAATATTTGTAATTAGATTTTGATGATGTTATATTAATTAGGACTTTAGAGTACCCCTCTTTAGACTTAATGTATTAGAATTTTCCTTGTAAAGTTCTTTAGTATAATCGACTGACAGAGGGCCTCCAGAGCAGAAGGCCTCCAGAACATAAGACCCCCTGACAGAGGACCCTTGATAAGGCTTTGGTTGAACAGAATACCTTTGGTTCTCTGCTTCAGAACAGAAGACCTCAGGGTCTCTGTTAGCCTTTACTCTGACAGAAACCCTCCTGGTTCTCTGTTGGATATTTCTTCAACAGAAGTGTTCAAGACCTTCCTGGATCAACTCTCTGCTAAAGACACCAGAAGGCCTGACACTTAGAAGAATTTCACCTAACCGGTAAACCAACTGAAAGATTCCTTCAACGGCTAGGAGTCTTGAACGGAAAAGCTACAGCACGCGCATTAAATGCACATTTAATGCCTCCCGTACTCTGTAGAGTAATTGCAGATGATTGGCCGCAATTTCAGGATAACTTTATCCCAAAATAGTAACCCGCCAACTTTGCCGGGTCCTACTGGTCAAGTCAACTGCTCGCTCATTTAATGCAGTTGTCCTCCTTCTCCTCCAACGGGAAGACAACCTCAGTATAAAAGATACACTACGAAGAACAACCGGACAACTTTGCAACCTCAGTGCGCATACAAAATATTCAAACGCTAATAACGCTAAAAAGCCTCCTTGAGATTAAATCTTCATTATCTTCAACAAGAGAAGGCAGAAGTTGGAAAGTTCCTTATTTCCAACTCAAGCAAAGTTCTGGGCGTTCTTCAACTCTTCAAGCTCTTCATATACAAACTTTTTGTAACGAAGCAAGTTGGAGGAACCCCTGTTCTCAATAGAGCCTCTTCTTTCACAAGAAGGACGTCCAAGTACTTGGAGCAGTGAAGTGGTGATACTTCCGGGAAAGCTCAGTGAAAGGACCAGTCTTAGGGAAGCCAGAAGTGCATCCAAGAAGACATCTACACGTGAAGAAGACGTGGAGAGCTTCTTAAGTGATAGGGCTAAGGCGTTGTAAACGGTCGTTTTTACAAGCTTAGTGGAACAGTGGACTAGAGGAACAAGTTGTTCCTTGAACCACTATAAAAAGCCCTGGTGTCATTTACTTACCGCATTTTATTTATCGCTTTTATTTGAACTGCTTAACTCCAAAGACTTGGTATCTGTGTTCAGCAGAACTTGTCTTGTGAGTTAACAGAAGGCCTACAGCCTTTGCTTCTCTGAGGCTAAACTAAAAGAACTCCCAACCAGAACCCCATCCGCTGCCAGTCTGTTCTGCCAACAGAACCGACAATTCTGTTAAATCTGGTACTTAGCTTGAAAAAGTTAAAAACCAATACAGTCTATTCACCCCCCTCTAGACTGTATCCAGTACAACCGGGACCAACAGCTGGGGGGCATCCCATGCTTATAGACCGGAAGGTCGTCCCCTGAATTACAACCGTCATCAGACGAATTTCCAGGATGGCCGTGGGCAGATTGCCTAGGGACAATGGAAGACATAGCAAGAACGGATGAAAAGTACAGGACTTACAAGGAAGAGATGGAGATCTAGAGAGAGAAAATAATCTGGCAGAGTAAAGACCAAGAGTAATTCCCCCTTTGGGCGATAGAGTATTTATAGGCAAAAACCACCGTCTGCGCCCGAATGAGGGAAAAACACGTGGCGGACCGTGTTTGGTGTATCCTACGGTTGGCGCAACGCTTCGAAATCCACGCCATCAGTGGCACGCGCCGGAATCATTCTCCCCACAACGAGATGTACGACCGAGAGAGGGAAGAAGATGATAAAAGAGAGGAGAATGAGAGGACGAAGGAAGAGTCGTTCCTCGTTAAAAAAAAAGATAAAAGAAAGAAGAGAAAAGAGTTCATGAGAGGAGGGAGAAGAGTCGTCCCTCGCCAGAGAAAGCGGGGAATGGACAAAGGGAGTTATGAACAAGTAAGCAGACCGCAAGTCATAAAGGGAGAGAAAAAGTTTTTTTCTTCGGCTCTGCTGGCCGGAACATACAAATGAGCAGATGGGATTAATCAAATCACGCAAGGAAACCATGGGGGAGCATGGGGAGGTCTGCGGCTCATCCAACTCGTTAAAGAGAGGCTCGGGAGTAGGGGGATCAGGGATTTTACCCCTCTGGGCGGCCTCGGCGCGCCGCTGATCACGACCGATCTTCCCCATGGCCCGCCGACGCTCAGCTCCCTCCGTGTAATCCTCCACATTGAAGAAGGGACAGCCGGCCAGAGGAAGCACACTCCTGAGGGCCTTGAAACCTTCATAATATCCCTTGGAAAAGGCATCATCAGCAAGCTCTGCAAGCCATTCACCACCGAGCGCAGTCTTCTCCAAAAGCCGCACCCCATGAGACAAGCGATCCTTCTCCAGCACGGGCTGCAGCTCGGCCTCGAAAACTTCTCCAGCAGCTCCCCGACAATACTTGACGTGCACTCGTCGTTAGGTGCACTCAAAATAAATAATCAATACAACACTAATACGTAGTATAGTGTAGTAAGGTTCGTATCCACAGGGAAAGGAATACTTTTCTTTTAAATAAATTGTAACAAAAGGGGGGTTTAGATTTGTTTGCTTTAAAAACACTAAGATAAACAGCCTGTATGAGTTTTATTCAATGAGATGAAGACTTGGTTTTGCTTTTATCCACTTAATGAAATGTTCGTCGATCCCGGTTATATCTTTAACTATCTTCCTCTCGAATACTCAATCGAGGAGTATATCCAGTTCATCGAGGGTAGTTATTAATAACGAGATGTGTTCATTAATAAAACTTACTATCGAGTCAATATAGAACAAGCGCCGTATATTAACTTGATAGTAGCAATAAACTTAAGATGAAAACGATTGAGATTGATAACCTCAACACAAGCGGTTTATTGGTTTAATCAATATAATTAATTCCCCTTGGCATATTAACCATGAGATGCATGCATTAATATTCCAAGTTTACTACCGTTGAAAGAACCGGATTAATAACAAGCGTATTAACCGATTGATTCTAGTAATAATTAATATGAGAAACAATACTAGTTGATACTTTAAGTAATGTTTAAGATATTAACATGAAATATGAATAGGAATTAATTAATACTCAAGGAAGAATATTAAAATATATGAATCCTACTATGATTAATATCAAGATGTTAACTAATTGTCATCTTAGTAACACTCCCTAATATTATCATAGAGGAAGAAATAGCTATTACTATAACCAATGTCAAGATGTTAACTAATTGTCATCTTAGTAACACTCCCCAACTTTGATATAGAGATAGTATTTTGAAAGAAAGAATTAATATTCAAGGAAGAAGATTAAAGAAAATAACTCACAACTTACAAATTCATTAAGCTTCAAAGTAGCAAAACCAAGATGGAAGAGTTTAGCTCCTCATTTGGAGACTAAACATGATGAAAAATATAAAGAAAGAGCTATTCTATACTGAGCTTAGATGTACAAAGGGATTGGATATCTTTTTGTGAAGGAAAGGAGGTGTATTTATAGGTTTTTGGGATGGGATTCGGGTACTCGATCGGGTATATACATGGTACCCGATCGAGTACGTGTGTAACACTCGATCCGAGGCATACTCGACCGGTTTCAGGCTATTTTCTAAGAGTATACCCGATCGAGTATATATGAATACCCGGCCGAGTATGCTTAGAAAATGGTATTCGGACCATACTCGACCGATCTTCGTTTGAGATTCAAAGGCATACCCGATCGGGTATGTCGGTCTACCCGATTGGGTATAGACATAAAATCGTGGCCGAAATCTTCCCTGCATGGTCCCTTGTCTTCGGATCTGATCCGATTTGAAGTTCCAACCTAATACCCGATCGAGTATAGCTAATACTCGACCGAGTATAGACCAAAATTCAGGATCTTCTTTTGTCTTTGAACTTTTGCACCTTCTTTTCACTTTTTGGGTTCACCAACTGTACTTCGAGTGACCAAAACCTGCTTGAGCTCAGAATATATCTAATCTAACCTATTTACAAGAATCTAACAATCTAATCTATTTACACCAAAAGTGTGTAATTTCCAAAGTAAAAGTCAAGCAAAACTAATTAAAAACATAAACATAAATATGGAAATTACGAACGTATCAACTCCCCCACACTTAAACCTTTACTCGTCTCGAGTAAGATCAAATGTTTACAAGTGTCAATGTTTGTCCAAAAGTTCCACAGTTGAACAAAAACACAATACAAACACAAAGACCACCAAGGATGACAAAGAAAAATGAGTTTTAAACTCAAATTACAAAAGAGCATCTTGGGTTTAATGGCCTCCTAGTGTTATCTTCTTTTCTCCTCCTCTCTTCTTCTTTATCTTGAATCTTCTTATTCTTCATAAGGATACAATGAGTGCCTGCAAGAACAAACATTTCTCTCATATCTCTCATTTTGCCTAGGAGCCTTTTCAGGTTTTCATCCTAGCACCTCTTTTCACTTTCCATTCTCTCCAACTCACTCATTTTTTTATAAGCCTTTTTTGCTTAGATTGCCCATTTTGTTGGGTTTTCAACCTAACTAGCATTTATTTTCTTTTGTTTATTTTTTCTTTATTTCTTTTTTGTGTAAAAGTTTAAAAGAATTACATGCATAGTGCTAGGTAGAAATGAAAATTACATACCATCATGAGTGTCTCCCCCGCACTTGAATCAAGCACTGTCCCTAGTGCCCGCCTTCTCCTCCGTAGTAGCTCCCTCCAAAGCCGCTCCCTTGGCCACCATCTCCCATGTAGGTGTCCCCGCCATCTCCGCCGTCGTACCCTCCACCCCCGGAGCCTGATCCTCCAAAGTTACCCCAATGAGTGGGGTCATACCATGAGGGTGGTGGAGGGGGGTTCGCCATGGTATGGAAGGATCCCTGTTGTGCCATATAAGAGTACATAGGTCCGTAGAACCTATGTTGGTCTTCCTCATACCGATGTCTATCGGCCTCCCGGAGCTCCTCCAAACGTTGAAAGCCGGCTCTTTGCTCATCCTCCAATCATTGAAAACCGGCTCTTTGTTCCTCCTCTAATCGGTTGAGCCGGTTGTCCATTTGGGTTATTCCCGTGAGCAGTTGTTGTTGACCCTCCAGAAGTTGTTGAAAGAAGTCGGGTGGTGGAGGGTTTTGGCTTTGTTCTGGGAAGTCCTGGCTCATGGTTGGATGGCTATGGAGTTGCTCATAGGGCTCGTAATCGGGTTGGTTTTGGGGAGGTTCCTGTTCCGGTTCCTGGAGATGTGGTGGGAGGGCGTTTGGGAAGAGGTAATGTTGCTTTGCTCTTCCTGTTTTGAAGTGGAGTTGGGGGAGTTCTGGGTTGGGCAAGAGGAAGTATTTGAGGGGTTTGGGGTGGATGTGCCAGTTGTACATAATTCTGGGCCTTTCTTCACCATAAACGGTGTGTGAAAAAGATGTACAGCCCGAGTGGCCCAGCCAAGATATGTTCATCAAACAGTAGTCGGGTATAGGAGAGTCATCCGTATACCCGAACTTTGTGGCCAAGTGCATAATCACCCTGCCCACTACAATAGCACCCTTTGCCACACTTTCTTTTTTTAGATGCCCACATGAGATTACATAGGTTGAAATCCACGTGGACACGGAATAGGGCTACCGAGATGAGGCACACATCCCCCATCCTAGTATGATGGTTGTTGGGGCGTCCAAGCAAGGAGTTGGCGAGGAATTTCAAAAATAGGCGGAGGACGGGATGTTGGAAATGACTAATATAGAGTTGGGAGGAGCTAAATTTAGTCTCCCCGGTCATCTTTGTCCATAGGGTGTGGCCGAAGGCGGTATTGTCGGATATAGATTTTTGGTACGGGACCGGAATACCAAAGTGTTCGGCGAACTCAAGTTTTGTGATTGTGTGATTGTGATTAAACAATCGAAACCTGAGTTTATCATCCTTAAAGTCATATTCCAAGTTTACTACCGTTGAAAGAACCGGATTAATAACAAGCGTATTAACCGATTGATTCTAGTAATAATTAATATGAGAAACAATACTAGTTGATACTTTAAGTAATGTTTAAGATATTAACATGAAATATGAATAGGAATTAATTAATACTCAAGGAAGAATATTAAAATATATGAATCCTACTATGATTAATATCAAGATGTTAACTAATTGTCATCTTAGTAACACTCCCTAATATTATCATAGAGGAAGAAATAGCTATTACTATAACCAATGTCAAGATGTTAACTAATTGTCATCTTAGTAACACTCCCCAACTTTGATATAGAGATAGTATTTTGAAAGAAAGAATTAATATTCAAGGAAGAAGATTAAAGAAAATAACTCACAACTTACAAATTCATTAAGCTTCAAAGTAGCAAAACCAAGATGGAAGAGTTTAGCTCCTCATTTGGAGACTAAACATGATGAAAAATATAAAGAAAGAGCTATTCTATACTGAGCTTAGATGTACAAAGGGATTGGATATCTTTTTGTGAAGGAAAGGAGGTGTATTTATGGGTTTTTGGGATGGGATTCGGGTACTCGATCGGGTATATACATGGTACCCGATCGAGTACGTGTGTAACACTCGATCCGAGGCATACTCGACCGGTTTCAGGCTATTTTCTAAGAGTATACCCGATCGAGTATATATGAATACCCGGTCGAGTATGCTTAGAAAATGGTATTCGGACCATACTCGACCGATCTTCGTTTGAGATTCAAAGGCATACCCGATCGGGTATGTCGGTCTACCCGATCGGGTATAGACATAAAATCGTGGCCGAAATCTTCCCTGCATGGTCCCTTGTCTTCGGATCTGATCCGATTTGAAGTTGCAACCTAATACCCGATCGAGTATAGCTAATACTCGACCGAGTATAGACCAAAATTCAGGATCTTCTTTTGTCTTTGAACTTTTGCACCTTCTTTTCACTTTTTGGGTTCACCAACTGTACTTCGAGTGACCAAAACCTGCTTGAGCTCAGAATATATCTAATCTAACCTATTTACAAGAATCTAACAATCTAATCTATTTACACCAAAAGTGTGTAATTTCCAAACTAAAAGTCAAGCAAAACTAATTAAAAACATAAACATAAATATGGAAATTACGAACGTATCAACTCCCCCACACTTAAACCTTTACTCGTCTCGAGTAAGATCAAATGTTTACAAGTGTCAATGTTTGTCCAAAAGTTCCACAATTCAACAAAAACACAATACAAACACAAAGACCACCAAGGATGACAAAGAAAAATGAGTTTTAAACTCAAATTACAAGATTAGCCCAGCCTACAAGGAATAAAAGTGGGTTAGGAGGGGACGAATGGCAGATCAAGGGACGGGGGGAAAATGTGAGGAACGTACCTCAAGGTTCAAAAGCAGAGCATGATCAACGGAATCGCCAGAAGAACGATCCGACAACTCCAGCCCGGCCTGAAGGGCCATGTCCTTCCATATTTCAGAAACCGGATGGACGGCGGAGGGCACCACGACGTTCGTGGGCTTGGGAGCGGAGGGCTCAAGACGCGGCCTCTTCAGCTTTTTTCTCTTGTCTTTTTCCTCGCCAGCGGGGATTCCAACGCCGAGCGGGTCCACATTCAGGACCCGGTTATCTTGAGGGTACTGGGCCTCAGAATTCTGCCCAGTCACCTTAGCAACCAGAAGCCGCTCCGCTTCAGCAACACGCTGACTCGCCTGGGACACGGCAGACGAAGTGGCCCCAGAAGACTGGGCGGTCCCACGAGCTTTCGTCAGCGCCGCTCGTTCCTTGTTGGCCTTGGCCTCGCAATGAGCCACCATAGTAGCACTATCCATTTGTTCTTGAGTAGGAGGAGGACCTGAAACAAAGAAATAACGTTAGTACCGGGCGGTGCGAATCACAAAGGCACTCACCTCAGGGAATGGACCGCCCGGGCCCACAAGATGAACATGAGAGAATGCCAGTCCAGGGATCGCGGGTGGTACCTATCCCTGCATCAGAGAGTGCCTGGATGGTCAAGAGATCCTTCAGCTTTCTAACGCCGCCCAGCTTTAGCTTATCCACGACATCTTGCAACTCCTGGGTTAGCTCCGGCGTCTTAATCTTCGGAGGATACCCGTTCCATCTCGCAGTAAGCCACTCGTCCGCATAGCGAATGAAGAAAAAATTATTTTTCCAATCATGAATGGAAGTGGGAGCCCCCTCGAAAAGCTTCTCTTTGGGACGAGCGGCCACGCACAGAAACCCGTCGGCGTTTTGAGGGGTGACTTGGAAGAACTAATGGAAGAGCTCCAGTACGTTCGGCCCTTCGACTTGTAATCACTGGAGTGAATAAAATACAGTTATTGACCCACTCCCCGTTGTCTAGTGATCTTATTTGCCCTTCACCCATTCGAAACCCCCAGGTTACGTGTTGGGCCTGCGGGTTGAGGGGAATAAACCTCAACAATGAGAATATAAAAAGCTAGTAGGAAGGACCTAGCGATGATGTTAGATTTTCTTTTGAATGATATCAGTGTAGATTCCTTGATCAGTTGATTATTACTGCAATTAAAATCTTAAGAGCATAATAATAAAGCGGCTATTTAAAAAAAGGACTCTTAATAGAATTTTATTGCGGATTTTTTTTTTGTCGAGTCTAAGTTAGTCTTAGGTACGTTCCCGTACAATTTATTACCAGATGATTTAACATGTAATCATTTGTCAATTTTTGTCGAGTTATGTGTTACTTACTGTTTGACTTCCCTATTGTTTGGAAGGCTAATAAACTTTACCGCTATGAATGAACAATACTTCCTAAGTTATATAGTTAGAAGATTGAGGTTAGAAGGAACAATAATGTGGAATATCAATGAAGAAATAACTATTGATAATGAACGGTCTAAAGGAAGTTTACGATTAAACTATTAATTTTTTTTTGTCTCGTTTAGACTACATGTTTGAAGACATCACATATTGATTAGTGAAGGGATGAAGGGTTTAATTGAGAGAGGAAGAAAAAAAAATAGTACTTTCCTTAAGCTTTCTATAGGTTAATGAGGTAGCTAAGAGATTAGAATATGTTGTCATTAATGAAAACAAAAGAATTTATGTTGTCAAGAAATTTTTGTGTGTGAGACATTTATGTGTTTGACAACGTCAATTTTTGTTAAATAGAAAAAAAAAATTATTATGTTGTTCATTTAAGAAATATGAATATTTGAAACTAAGCAAAATAGTGTTAAAATTTAATGTGAATCCACATACTGATTTTCTAAAGGGAGTCCAAGGAGATTTAGTTCAAAGCTTATAACATAACTTATCAACAAAAGAGTTACCAACAAGAAAGTTTCCGCTAAATATCAAGGCAATTAGCCTCAATTAGTAAATTGTGTTCAAGACTAAATAAGACAGCTGCTCACCTCATTAGAACACGTTCTCTTCAAACCTGAAATTCTAAAGTATAATGGAGAATCTATTTTAAAATTTCAATCAACTTTTCTGACTACTTAGGGACACTAATATATGAAGTTATAGTTTTTAGTTCCAAAGGTACATAACCATAAGAAAGTTTTTCTTTAATGAAAAGATGTTTTTGAGATGCTTAAGTGGGTAAAAAAAAGTTTAGTAGTTTCATCTACTCTAGACGTTAAAAAAAAGAATTCCTTTTGATAGAATATTTAAGTCAAACTATAGTGGATTTTTTGAGATGAAGAATGTCTCATAAGCTAGATTAAGGTTTTTCCCGGTGCTGAGCAGTCTTGATAGTAGAGAGTACAAAAGTTGTCTCACAGATACAACAATGCTTATAACACCGTCCAATTTTTTAACATCATTAAAATAGTGTAATTTTAGCAGTTTTTAGGGTTAGATAGAGAATCCCTGTCATGGTCATTAAGAACAGATTGTGAGATAGTAGTTGATGGATAGTCTACCCGGGGGTATATATCCGAAGGGTTATTACGGGGAATAACTTAGAGAGAAGTCAGAGCAAGTAAGTAAAAGTAGAGAGAGAGTGTATTCAGTATGAGTGCCGTTTTCAGCGTGGTTACAAATGAGGAAATGGGGTGCTATTTATAGTAGCAATAAATGCCGGGCAGGGACACGTGTCAAGCGCTTATTGGCCGAGGGGTCACCTCAACTGGTTGGCGCTGGCAGCCGCATGTGGCCGCATTTAATGCGGCTGTTGGATGGGACGTCTGTGCGGGGTACGGTGATCTGTACGCATGTGAGGCGGATATCTTGTCGAGTGAGATGCCTTCGGCTATAGAGCAGTAGCCGAGGGCTCTTCCACCCGATGGCACCCTGGTGCCGAGGGCTCACAGTGCCGAGGGCTACTGTTTTCGCCGTTTTCTCCCAGTTTCTTAATTTGCTTGAGAAACCCATTCTGTGAGAATTCGGAGCCTTCGGCCAGATGGCCGAAGGCACCCCGGGCGCGTTGTGCGGGCTGCTTGGTACTCTGGGCGCTGTGATTTGGTCCTGTTGGGCCTTCACTGGAGTAGTAGGAGTCTGTGGACCGGGGGTTCCCGGGCCATATACTCCATCAGGAGTCCCTCACTCCTTTTGCCGAAAGGTACTTGAGGGAAAAGGAGTAATTTGTGCTTGCCCTTTGATGTTGTCCCGTCGTGATCTCTGAAGTTGGTGAGGAGTTGTTGCTTTTATGTCCCTGCCGAAGGCAGTCCCTCAGTTACCCACATGTCGGGACTTGAGGGCTTGCTTTGTTGTTTGTTGGAATTTCACAGATTTTGTAATTTAATGATTTTCCCGAGGGGGTCCTCCAGTCCCCCACTCCTTGAGGCACTTGTAAAGTGATGAAAAGAAGTAAAGTAGTTATGTTGTTGTTGTGGGCCGAAGGCTGACGCTTTTCGTTTCATTTTGGGAGGATGCCTCGTTAAAAACCTCATTAGGAAAAACCCTTTGGGAAAAAATCCTAATGAGGGAAAAAGAGTGCACCGAATTCCCCCAATGATGAATCGAAAATGTCAAACCTTGGTAAAAAATGGAGAATGACGGGAATGACGAAGGCTCTCTCTTCTGAGGGCTCCTGTGTTGATTAGCCGAAGGCTTGCTGTTGATGTCCTGGTTGGCGCCGAAGGGGAGCCCCTCAATCGAGGGATCGAGGGCCTGCCAGATGAGGGCAGCAGTGAAGTTGTTACCGGGGGGGTCCACTGTTTGCTGATTAGTCGGTGATGAAGATACCCGAGGGCTCCCATTACCTGGGTGCCATGGGTCATCCGTCAATGAGGCAACTCCCCGGGGGCTACCCGGTTTTGCACTGCTGAGGGGGAATCCCCGAGGGGTGCCCTGATATGAAGTCCTGGGTTTCTAAAGGAGTGATCCCGAAGGCGTCTGTTATGTGCTGTTTGGGGCACAACCTGGGCACACTTCTGAGTGAGTGTACCCGGGGGCTACCCTTGATGAAGTGGAGTGAAGTGGAAAAACCCGGGGGCTTCCAGAATATAGCCGTTGGAAATATAGCCGTTGGAATATGTAACGACGGGATATAGCCGTTGGGGGGGGGGGGGGGTGGCACACGTGGCGTGTGATGGCTGGCTGTTCGCGGGCGGCGTCACCGGTTGGGTGAAACGACGGTGTGTAATGATGACGGTCCGTCCGGAGGCCCGGTTTCCGGGCCCAAGCCCGGATTCCAGCGCCTATAAATACCCCAAGGCCAGAGCCATTCCCGCTGTGCGAACTCAGTTGTCTTAGCGAAGCTCTGCCAAAAAATCTAGTAAGAGAAACTCAAGCCTTCGGTTCTAACTCAGCTTTCGAGGTCAGTGCTCCCTGCCTTTCTCCTTCTAGTATAGCTGTACATTGCGCCCTCGGGTTAGGAGATAGAATTCACTAGAAACCTTAGTTCCCCCGAACCCTCGAGCTAGAGTTAGAATGTCGTCCCAGAGTGACTCTCAGGACATCTTGAGGACGCCCTCGATGGAGGACGAAGGCATCTCCGACGTGGAGTCCAGTAGCGGTCAGCCCTCGGATGGTGCTGATGCTGTCCTGGCCCGGGAGGTCCAGAAGGAACTGATGGCGGAGGCCGAGGCGGAGGAATTCGAGCGAACTGCCGAGGATGAAGAATTGGCCCTCGCCGTCCAAGTTGCTGAAGAGGAGGAGGAAAAGGAGAGGGCGAATGTCACCGTGGCAGTCCTTCCCCCTCGGGGTGCTGGTGAGGCCAGTACTTCCCAGCCGCTGAATGCAGTTCCCATCCGGGTGGCCCCCGGGAAGAAGAAGGCCAAGGCAGCTGCCCCCAAGAAGAAGGTCATTGCTGCTGACCAGGGGAAACCCGTAGATATGCCGGAGGGGTATTCCTGGCTCAACACGGCTGCCTTAGAGATAAAGTCGAAGGCGGACAGGGCGGACCTCTACGTGACGCAGCTACATGTAGGGCCCTCGGTCGTGGTGGTCGAGCCGGGAATTGACGACGTGCTCTCTCGGGCGCCTGAGGGGTGCATTGCAGTACACGTACTGTCGGTCTCCATGGGCCTTCGGTTCCCTCTGCACCCCTTCCTCCGGGAGTACCTGAGGTTCGTTGGCTTGGTACCCTGCCAGCTGACACCTAATAGCCACTCCTACGTGGCGGGTTTTTTAAACCTCTGTAGGGACCGAGGGGTGACCCCCAGCCTGGACTTGTTCTTCCAGAGCTTCAACCTCTGTCGAGGGGGTCACGCGAACGCCGAGGGCTTCGCCAACCTGCAGCAGGTGGCCAGGTGGAAGCTGTTCACGGAGGCGCCTTCGTCCAACAAGGGCTGGAAGGAGCGCTGGTGCTATGTCAGGGTTGCTGAGAACCCATTTCCGGCGGAACTTCGGGATCGCTTCCGTCGGCATCCGAAGGTTGGAAGCGCTGCCCTCGAAAAAGACGGCTTGGTGATAGCCAAAATCCCGGAGGGTCGCACAAAGCAGGTCTCCATCAAAGACTATACTGCCGACAAGGGATTCTACGCCCTCGGCTTTCGGAGATACCGATTTATTGGGGAAGCGGACGAGAAGTACCCCATTTTTGCTGAGGCCTTCGGGGGAACAGGAGGTAGTCTACGAGGTCCCTCGGTTTTCATACCTTAGCACATAGCTTATCTTGTTCGTGTTTTTTTTTTCTTTTTATTCTTTGTGCCTTCGGTCAGTAACCCCTCGATTTTGACCCCATACCCTTTTTTTTGCAGGTGTCCCAGTGAAAATGATGAACGTCAGAGGCCTTGCAGACCTGAAGAAGAAAAAACCCTCCAAGGGCCCGAGGGGGACGGACGCCGGTGTCCCAAAACCCGCCGGTGACTTCTTCAAAAAACCGGAGGGGCCGTCGGCGGGCACAAGTGCTGATGCTGCCGCTGCCGCCAAAAGGAAGGGCTCGGGCAGAGATCCCGAGGGAAAGAAGCCCAAGACCGGGGATGCCGGGAAGAAAGTCCCCCCGGTGATCATTGTTGATGAAGGCCCTGCCTCCGGGGCGGATGACGACATGCAGGTGGCGAAAGTGCCGCCGGGAGTTCAGGGGCCATCTTCCGAGGTCCTCATGGTTTCCCTCCCGGCTGGTACGGCCGTGATGAACGGTACGGCCGACCCGAGGGTGCTTCTGAGAGGCATCACCCTCGAGATTGACAGAGTAGCCCTCGGGGCTGATGAAGACGAAGCCCTCGAGGACAGGATCCTCCGGTCTTCCCTCACAGTAAGTCTTTTATGTTTATTTCTTTCTCTTCTACTTCGAGCTGAGAAACCATGTTTGGCCTTGCTAACCCCTTTGTTTTTTGTAGACCTGCATTGCCCTCGGGGAGCAAGCCCGGCGGCTAGATGAGTGGCGCCTTCGCAAGGCCGAGCAGGAGGCCAAGATGCGGGAGCTCATCCGCCAGAATGCAGACGCTGTTCGACAGATGGCTATGCTGGAGGAGAGCCTTCGGCAGATGACCCTGCGGGCGGAGGCCGCAGATCGGGGTAGGGCAGAAGCCGAGAGGTCCGCAGCTGAGGCCTTGGAGAGAGCTGTCAAGGAAGCCGAGGCCGCGAAGGTGGAAGCCGTCGAGAGAGCCCGAGGGGACGCAATCTCGGGGTTCTTGGCAGGGGGTGGCGGTCCGAGGAGCACAAGCAATGGCTGTCCTCGGTCGTCGAGTCCTCGGTTGACGAGTGGTGTGATGGGCCTGGCGTGGAGTGGGTTTCCCGAAAGGGTAAACAATACTATGATGGGGGCGATTTTTTCACTCAAGCCCTCATCTACCGGAGGATGGCTCGCCACTTAAAGATCGAGCCAAAGGACTTTGACCCGGCAGCATACGGGCTCCCCCCTGCAGCCAGACATCCGCGTTCCTCTTCCCCCCGACGTCGAGAGGCCAGACCTGGAGGACTCTGAGCTCATGAAGGAAGCCGAGGGCGACGAACCTGAGGCCGACGCAGAAGTCACCTCGAAGCCATCGGGGGAGGCGGCCCCCGGGAACGACATGATTTGATATGTATTTTGTATTATGTAAACATGTACTTGTAATGGTGACATTATTCATCCTTCGGCTTCGGCCTGCTTGTAACATTTATTCGTATTACATTTGCCCTCTGTTTGTTGATGATTGAATGATTGCCTTCAGGCTGTGTTTATATGATTTGTTTTCTCCAATTCCTTTCTTCTTGAATGCATGCCTTCGTTTTTGTTTTGGATGTATGTCTTTGCTCCTTTGAATGTATGTTTTAGGACTTAGAATATTATCTGATTGTAGTTAGCCCTGGGGAGCCTTCGGTAGTTGGGCACCCTCTGCTGGATATGCAACCGAGGGTTCAGCAGCAATTAGGACTTAGAAAATGTTTCTAAGTGTAGCACACCATAGGGCCTTCGGGTGTTTGCAGTAACCCAAATCTTAGGACTTAGAAAAATTTCTAAGTGTAGATTTCCCCTTGAGAGCTTTCGGGATATGGGATCCCTTCCTGATGTGTGAATGTTGGACCGAGGGCCCAATGCACAGGACTTAGAGATTTTTTGCAAGTGTAGTATGTCATGTAGCCTTCGGCTACTGTGGAGCCCCAACTGAAATATTGAATAGGCCGGGGGCCAATTCTTTAGGACTTAGAAAATTTTCTTGAGTGTTGATTCCTTGAGTACTGTAGCCCTCGCCTGATAGGTAGCCTTCGGCAATTAGGTCCCTTGAGATGAGGGTGAAATATGTAGGACTTAGAAAATCTTCTAAGTGTAGAGTTTCCCTTGGGAGCCTTCGGGAGATGGCATCCCTTCATGATGTATGAGTAGTTGACCGGGGGGAAAATATGTAGGACTTAGAAAATCTTCTAAGTGTAGATTTTCCCTTGGGAGCCTTCGGGTGATAGGTGCCCTCTGACTCCACATCACTTTGCGAGATGCCCGGGGGCTACTCATTTAGGACAGGATACTTTTTTTTAAGTGTTGTTGTACTGCATGGCCTTCGGCCACCATATTCCCTTGGCTGTAATATTGATTGGGCCGGGGGCCCAATCTTTAGGACTTAGAGTTTTTTCAAGTGCTGCTTCCCTGTGTAACCTTCGGGTGATAGGTGCCTTCTGACTCTACATTACTTTGCGAGATGCCCGGGGGCTGCTCCTTCAGGACTTAGAATTTTTTCTAAGCATAAATTGATGTTGAATCCTGTTGTTGTGAAGAAAGCCAATGAGGAGTGTGTGCCCTCGGCATACACTTTAAAAGTTGTAGAATTTGACCCTTGTCATGGGGAAAGGGCCCTCGGTATTTGTGCATAACAGATGCCTTCGGTGTTTGTTTGAAGTACCGTTTAGTGGACCTTGGATAGTCCAGTCCCTTTGTATTGTTGAAGCCTTCGGTGTTTTTGTGACCGGAGGTGACCAGGTAGTGGACTTAGCCGTTTCCTGATGATGTTTGTTTGAGTAGTATCCTTCGGGAAATAGGAGCCTTCAGTTACCGGAGGTGTTCCCGTGGGGAGCCCTCGGCTTGTTGTGATCTGTTGGAGTGTACTCTTTGATTTCTCGCTGAGTCTACTCCCCTTCACCCCTTTTTTTTTTGGTTGGTGGTGAAGGGAAGGCATCAAGAAACTTGGTTTCTTGGTAAGGCTGGGCCTATTAGGAGACCATCAGAATACACCAATGGCTCTCCTCCCTCGGGTTAACCTTCCGAGTTCCGAGGGGATCGAGGGACGTTTCCTGGGCACAAGATATGGTGGTCCGTAACCTGCCTCCCCTTGGGGGATGGCGCGGAAAGCGCCTCATTTTTGAAAGTCGTCCCCTCGGCGCTAGACATAGTCCGTGGCCTGCCACACCCTTGGGGTGGTGGCGCGGGGAGCGTTTCGGTTTGGAAGTCGAATCCTGGGCATTTCTCATGCATGTCATACCCTGGGGGTAGTGACGCGGATAGCGTTCCGTTTTTGAAAGTCGAATCCTGGGCATTTCTCATGCCTGTCATACCCTGGGGGTAGTGACGCGGAAATCGTTTCAAGGAAGGGTTTTCATTTGCACACTAGTTGCAAATGGCCGGGGGCACTACGTGCCGCCGGCACCGATGGTGGCGCCTTCGGTATATGCGTCCTCGTGGGGTACGGCTTTTTAGAAACAACACTTGGTGTTAGTTTCGATGTGTAGCCCCCGGTACTTGGTACCGAGGGGTCTTCTGTAGGAACACTTGGTGTTCTCTTTTGTCGTAGTTGATGGAGGTGTCTACCCTCGGTACTTGGTACCGAAGGGTCTCCAAATGAAACACTTGGTGTTTCCCAACAGATGTTTGGAAGTTGATAGGAGAGCATATCCCTGGCACTGGGTATCGAGGGGTCTTCTTTGAAACATTTTGGTGTTTTTTTTTGTTTCAATGTTTGATGATGGAGATGTACCCTCGGCACTGGGTGCCGAAGGGTCTTCTGTAGGAACACTTGGTGTTCTCATCTTTTCTTTTTTGATGTTGAAGGTGGGAATGTACCCTCGACACTGGGTGCCGAAGGGAAATGAAACACATGGCGTTCCTTGTTGTTGGTGATAGGAGTTCCCTCCCTCGGCACTGGGTGCCGAGGGGTCTTGACTGAAAACACGTGGCGTTTTCACTGTTTGTTGTAGGTGTTGATGGTGTCCGCCCTCGGCACTTGGTGCCGGAGGGGGTTCTTCTCGTGGTGAGGCCTGGGGCCTGTAGTCAGTATGAGGGCTTGATGTCTTGAATGTATCTTCATTCTTCGAAATTGGAGGCCTTGGGCCATAGGATAGTTAATTCACTAGTTATGAGGGCTTGGCCGCTCTTACATTATTGATAAAATTTAACTAAATGGTGTACATTCCAGTGCCTATGGACTTCTTTCCCATTGGGGCGTTTGAGCTTGTAGGTCCCGGGTTTGATGATGGCTGCTATGATGTAGGGGCCTTCGAATTTTGGTGCCATTTTTCCTCCCTCGGTTGGTTGGCTGGCTTCCCTCCTCCGGAGGACATAGTCCCCCACTTGAAATTCTCGGGTGCGAACTTTGGCGTCGATGTAGCTTTTAACTTGCCTTCGGTAGTTTTCTGCCCGAGTGAAGGCCTGCTCCCGGCGTTCTGAAATGAGGTGGAGGTCGAGGGCCATGTTGCTGTCGTTGACCTCGGGGTCATATTGGATCATCCTTCGGGTGGGAAGGGTGACTTCCGTAGGGGCTTTGGCTTCGAAACCGTAGCAGAGGAAGAAGGGTGTTTCACCTGTTGCTCGCCGAGGGGTGGTGCGATAGGCCCAAAGGATGTTGTGGAGTTCTTCTACCCAGCCACCGCCCTCGGCCTCCAGCTTCTTTTTGAGGCCCTCGAGCAAGGTCCGGTTGGCGTTCTCTACTTGCCCGTTGCCTTGAGGGTAGGCAACGGAGGAGAAGGTGTGTTTGATGCCCCATGCCTCCAGAAGGGCACAGAAGGGGGCTGCCTCAAATTGTGTCCCATTGTCGGAGATGATCTGCTGGGGGACGCCAAACCTTGTGAGGATGTTCTTGAGGACGAAGTGACGGCACTTTGCCTCTGTGATGCTGGCGAGGGGTTCAGCCTCCACCCACTTGGTAAAGTAGTCGACGACCACAATGATGTACCTGTTGTTGGAGGTACCCCTCGGCAGAGGGCCCACAAGGTCTATCCCCATCGAGAAAAAGGGACAGATGTGCTGATGGGGGCATAGTTGACCGCTGGCCTGCCGGGGGCTTTCTGGAAATGTTGACATGCGGTGCACCTCCGGGCAAGGTCAGCACAATCCCTGGCCATGGTTGGCCAGAAGTAGCCTTGGAGAATGAGCCTTCGGGACATGGAGAAGGGTCCCTGGTGAGCTGAGCAAGTGCCACTGTGCACTTCCTCCATTGCGACCTCGGCTTCATCTGGATGAAGGCACCGAAGTAGCGTGCCATTGTAAGATCGTTTGTAGAGCCTCCCATCTTCGATGGTGTAGCTAGGAGCCCTCAGCTTTGCCAGTTTAGCGCGGGCCTCATTCTCGGGTAGCTGCCCTGTGGAGATGAAGGCGGTGATATCTGAGATCCAATCCTCCTGACGTTGTTGTATGTTAATCATGGGGCTTGCATGGATGCTTGAGAGGCTGAGTTCCTCGATTTTGGCAATTTTGGAGACGTGCTCGGGGGAGTCTGCCGAGAGTTTAGATAATATGTCGGCCTCGGAGTTCTGAGCCCTCGGTATTTGAGTGAGAAAGTGTGCCTCAAATACCTTAAGCAACTCCTTGGCCGCTTCCTTGTACTGTTTCATTCTTCCCTCCTTGGCCTCATATTCTTCGGAGATTTGGCCAACGACCAACTTGGAGTCGCATTTGATGTGGATCTGCCGAGCCCTCTTGTTGGCAGCCAGCCGAAGGCCACATAGGAGGGACTCATATTCGGCCTCATTGTTGGAGACCTTGAAGGAGAAGCGGATTGCATAGTAGGCCCTGAAGCCCTCGGGAGTAATGAGGACTACCCCTCCCCCGCATGCTTTGGTCGCGGAGGAGCCGTCAGTGTAGAGGGTCCACCAGTCGTCCGAGGTAGCCGAGGGCTCCCCGTCCGTGGCTGCCCTTGCGGTACACTCCGTCACAAAGTCCGCCAAGGCTTGGCCCTTGATGGCAGGCCTTGGGCGGATGTCAATGTTGTACTGGCTCAAGAAGATAGCCCACTTCACCATGCGGGAGGAGCTGGTGGGGCTCCTCATGAGGGCGCCGAGGGGTTGATGAGTGAGGACCTGAACCGGGTGAGCCTGAAAGTAGTGGCCCAACTTTTGACAGTCCAAACGATGGCTAACACCGTTTTTTCCACAGGGGAGTACCTGAGCTCGGCCTCCCTTAGGGTCTTGCTAACGTAGAAGATGGCATGTTGGATGCCGTCTTCCTCCCGGATGAGCACAGAGCTGACGGCCGCCGGGCTAACCCCAAGGTAGAGGTAGAGGGTCTCCCCTACCTTGGGTTTGGAGAGCACAGGAGGTGAAGATAGATATCGTTTGAGCTCGTCGAAAGCCCCCTGGCATTCTGGAGTCCATAGAAAGCCAGCCGTCTTCCTCATGATCTGGAAGAAGGGTAGAGACTTCTCCGCCGATTTAGATAGAAAGCGGTTGAGGGCTGCTAGGCGGCCCGTCAACCGTTGGACTTCCTTCACATTGCGTGGGGGCTCCATGTTGATGATGGCCTGGATCTTCTCGGGATTGGCCTCAATACCCCTTCGGCTCACCATGTAGCCCAAGAATTTGCC